GGCGGTGACGCAAACATTTCAGTATTTTATACCACTGGATGCCCCAAAATGGAACTTACCTTACCTATTAAATAATAATGTTTTTGACAAATTGAGTAAAAAAAAAAACAAAAAAAAAAAAAACCCAATTTATTAATTAGGCACTCGAAAATGAAATTTAAGTACTTACTATTCTAAAAACTACCATATTCAACTGAGCCCCACTATGGTTGGGGCTCAGGTGAGAACATTTTGAGAAGTTGAGACTCGTTAGATGCACAAAAAAAGCACTTGAATAGTACAAAATTTACGATATCCACCTGAGCCCCACCATGGATTTGGGGCGCAGATGAGTCAATTGCAATTTGAGACTTCATAGATGCCCCAAAATAACACTCGGATACTTAAAATTGCCAAAAAACTTGGCAGCGAAAGGACGCTACCAATAAACAATCAACAAACTACCGGGTTTCTGGGTTGATTTCCAAGGTACTACATGGCTCAACTATTTTTTACTTTAGGGTTAATTGGTAAAAATCGCACACAAATCATACGACGTCACTGACACGCCGGGGACGGCAACTCAATCTTGAGATTAATCTTCCGAATAAAGTTATACGGTACTAAATAACTTCTAATGACGAACTATTGTCTTTAATTGTCTTTGTTGGTCATTCAACTGTCATTTTATCTATTTTTTCGGTGATATTACTATTCTCTATAATCTATAAAACACCCACATAACAACGTCACGTTAGATCGATGAGTGGGGACGCCGTGGTGACGCTGGTAGGGTCAAATTTTGTCGGAAGGTATCAAGATGATAAACAGTTTCATTGGACTAAATTCTTGCTTAAGTTAACCACATGCTTACATATTATACTGATACTGGTTTCAAATCACGTTCAAGTAGTTAAACATCACCTAAAATCACCTTATTTTGCGAATTAGCGACCCTCAACTGATAATCGAGCCCCCCCTTCAGCTTCGCCCCCCCCCATTTCAAGACATCTAGATACGCCACTGACTTACATGGCCAGATGAATGAAAATACTCAATCGATATACCACCAAATCGTAACCAGCCTTCACCATACCCTCACGATGTCACCGGGGACGCAATTGCCAACTATTTTTTGGCAGCGAAAGGCCGCTACCAATAAACAATCAACAAACTACCGGGTTTCTGGGTTGATTTGCAAGGTACTACATTGCTCAACTATTTTTTACTTAGGAGTTAATTGCTCAACTATTTTTTACTTAGGGGTTAATTGGTAAAAATCGCACACAAATCATACGATGTCACTGACAACGCCGGGGACGGCAATTCGATTTTGGGATTAATTTTCCGAATAAAGTTATACGAAATAACTTCTAATGACAACCTGTCTTCAGTTGTCTTTGTTGGTCATTCAACTGTCGTTTTATTATTTTTTCGGTGATATTTTCGTCGGAAGGTATCAAGATGATAAACAAGTTTCATTAGACTAAATTCTTGCTTATGCCACTGCGGTGGGGTTCCAGGCAGCCACGGATATTTGACGAATTATGGCGAAATTTTATTACTTATTTATGATAGGCATCGAGGTACTATAATATGACTTCATGTAGGCTATGTTTTCTAATGTCGAAATCAGCTACCAAAACCAGAACATTTTGAATAAAACAAGAAACAAAGAGTTTGCAATGTAACCATCTAATTTCCTTACAAATCCTCTTTCTTTAAAGTGAAATTCTACATTAAATTTTGCACGAAATCTGTCAACCGCGATGTCAAGGTCGAGGTTGCTTCGATCCCCTATCGCGATGTATTCCAAGCATTATGAGGCTATCCAAACGAGCATTTGTCATAACAGAACGCAAAATATTTTAAATTAGTGTCATTGAACTATTATTATTATTATTTATTATTATTATTATTATTATTATTATTAGCATTATGGTTTTGTGACAGCTATTATTTATTTATAATGAAATGTAAAAAGCAGTTATTTATAAATAATGAGTTTGAAGTCAATTCGTTATTTATATATAATGAAATCAGTGAACTTACTATATATAAATAATTGCTAGTTACTTTTTATTATTTATATATAATGATTTGTTACCTTTTCATTTTTTATATATAATGGAATCAGTGAACTTATTATATATAAATAATTGTAAGTTATTTTTCATTATTTATATATAATGATGTGTTACCCTTTCCTTATTTATATATAATGAAACCAGTAACCTTATTATATATAACTAATTATATATAAATAATGAAACGTTAACGCAATTATTTACATATAATCTTTTAGACGTAAATGCACTATATATAACTAATGGGTTATCTAGTCAATTATATGTTAAATAATGAATTATATATAAATAATTGTGTTAAATAATAAATTTACACTTGTCGCCTCATACATTTGTAACCCTCAAGACTCCAAACAGACGTAGCGCGGTTATAGAGATCGAACATGACCGAAGCCTGTTTTGGCATACTTTATATACCTGCGAAACACAGACATCCGCTCAAAAAACAAAAAGGACGTCCGCTCACATTCAGCTCATCATTAAATAAAATAACATAGTTTTAAATGCTAAGTAATTTACATTGAATATTGTGTTTTATATTGTAAATAAATACATCGATATTTTATCTTAATTTTAACTTAACAAATAATGAATGGTTAAAAATAAGATTTTCTCTAAATTTATTAATGGACGAAGTAATGAAGAAGGATGTTTACAAATGGCCGTCAGCCTTCGCAACAACAAGCTAACGCGGAGATATAGAGAAAGCTAAAGTCAATTCCATGATTTAATATGTCGAGAGATTGGGAAAATACGTTTTCAGATATTGTAAGAGAGACAGAGGCAAATCTAAGTAAAGTTAGGGTATGTTAATTGTATGAATGTAATCAGAATAGGCAGGGCGTAGGGTAGGGCCTAGGCCTAGCCCGCTTGTTGTTGATTGATGGATTATTGAAGCTTGGCGTCGTGAGCGGGAGTTGTGCACTGCTGGTGGTGAGCGACTCAGCTGCGAGATAGACTTAGGCCTAGCCTAGCCTAGGAACTGAGTGAAGGCCTTGCTGGTGTCAGACGCTACTAGTTAGTTAAATGTACAACTTCTTTTTTTTTTCTCACAATATAGCATCGCTTGCATAGTTCCCATCATGGTGTTTATGATTCATACAGAGAAAACAGATCCAAGCCAAAATACAGCTCAGCAAGTAAGTCGTGAATCACTGTTGACGTTGTTGTTACTTGTGTTGTAGAAACAGGGCAAACGATTGAAAGTGATAGACAAATGTAAGGAAACAACAATGTTGATACCCGGAAGCTTTGACAAAAATTTGACAAATATCAGCACTCCATTTCAGAAATTTACCATTTTAAATTTATATTCCTGGGGATCTCTTTATGGCCAAATTTTTACAACCCTGCAAATGAAAGCAAAACGTCAAAACCACTGAGCTCATTCACTGATTTTTATCTTGTCTTCTGCAGTAGGTTACCATGGAAGACCAGCACAGTATGGTATACACTCTAATCAGAGCTCTCCTCTCACAAGCCTTCAACAAGTTGAGAGCTCAAGCCTATCGGACCAGACACCAGCATTGGTTGCTTTGCTTAGTGAGAAAATTGAAAATCAGAATAAGGTAAGAAGGTCATGGGATGGCTGATTGATGTTATAGTATAGTTTATTTTTGAGATTATATTAACTAAAAACATTCATTTCTATTACAAAAATATTGTCAAAATATACCATATACATGCGATGTCATCTTCTTTAAAACAGAGTTTATTTGATGGAAATAATGGAGTATTATTTCAACGTTATGAATATTTGATTAATTGGATATCAGCCATGTATGTTTTGAGAAAACAGCTTCCAAAGATTCCAAATGTATAGTTTATTCTTAAGATTTCAATTTTAAAAATAATTTTAAAATACTTTTCAGTTAGATTTAGTGATTGATATTTTGCAGGAATGTTCTTCATTATATCTCCTTCCTTTTATAAAATGCAAAAACCTGAAAATGTTCAAAATTCTGATATTTGAATCCTTTGGGTGCTTGTGCAAAATTAGAATTTGCAACAAACGGCAGGTTTTACCAGAGCCACATATAGGAATGTTATTTGTGTGTCCACTGCTTGACAATGAAAACACTTTCTCTAACAGAGAGTAACTTTTAATGTAAGACCATAAGATAGATTAAGATACAGTAATACAGAATATCTGTGTTGCCATCATCACCCAAATCTGAAAGTGAAAATTCATAATTCATATATATACTTTTCTTGACTGAACTTTTGTAGGTTACGAATTATTCCCTACACTACTAAAATCCAACCAAGAACAAAGATCTCACCAATGTTTTCTTTGAATTACAGATGATCCAGACATTAGCATTGCAGGTAAAATCGCTTGAAGATGATCGGGATCGAGCCAACAACCAGGTGAAACAGTTACATAGCGACTTAGTATTTGTGAATCGTCGTCTAGCTGAAAAGGGCGTTGACTTGGAAACAGAAATGAAATTGGAGAACCTTCAGCGCGAAGTGAAGTTGGAGATTGGGGACCTCCAAACACAGATGAAAATACAGAGTAAAGATAACATTGGGATGAATGATGATGTTGTCATGACGATAATGAGAGATTTGACTGATTGGTTAGTATTTTATGTGCTTTGTGTAACGTTCAAAATCAGAAAATTTAATTTATTTGGTTAAAGTAAAGTAATGATGGTTTTGTGTCATTGTTAATACAACATGAAATTTCCATATTCAATTAATTAAAGGTAAGGTAAAAGTCAAAACCTGAAGCTCTGGGCTCACAGGCATAAGTGCCTGTCTCATTTTCTTGGTGTTTGGTCCAGACTGTGCAAGGCTGTGGGGATTCACCACTTCTCCTGCACAGCAGTCTGTTTTACCTTCCCAGTATATGCCGGTACCCATTTATACTCCTGGGTAGAGAGAGACCAATGCAGATAAAGTGCCTTGCCTAAGGACACAAGCGACTTTCACAGCGAGTGCTTCGAACCCCCAACCTCAAGTTTGAGAGTCCAAGCCACAACCGTAGCTCCAACCGCTTCTATGATGCCAATTGTTGATTATTGTGTCATTCAAACTTTGTTTTTGTTTATTTGCAGTAAACGTTACCAACAGGACGATGCCAATGCTATCAGGAGGGATATAGAGAGCTTGCGTACACGCCTCATCAAGATTGAGATCGATCTTTCCAGCCAGGTGGGGGAGAATAAGGAGGTGATGCGAAAGGTTGACAGAATACAAAGGGTACAGTATGGTTATCCATAATCTGCTTTTTAAATTTATTACTGAGGTTAAGTTGGTTCGCCAATTACACTATTATTGAATGTAGTAAACTTAGTTTTGTTACATAACTGGTCCCAAATTATTATGGTCCTACAGTAGTTTCTGTCTTCTATTTACTAACTTTATAGTAGTAGTTTTTGTCTTGCATTAGGGCAATTGTCATTTAGGACACCACCGGCATGATTGACTGAAGGCTTGTCTTTCACTTTCTTCTCAAGACATCATGTTCACAGAATATATTTTCAAGATAGTATCTTCCCCTATACAAAAATATCCTCAATCTTTGTTGTCTGATCTTATCTGACATGAGAGGTAGATCTTCATAAAGACTAGCAATGATAACCACAAACAATTAGCTTCTCCAGTTTGCACTGGACATTTTTTTTTTTAATCAGCATTTTGAAAGATACCATTAAAGAAATATTTTGAAACAGAGAAAATTTTTAATTTAAATGAAAATAATTTCAGTGATGATCATGACCAAAATGAATAAATAAAATATGAATAATTTATCTTTAAATTTAATAATAGACTGTATCTGATTTGTCAGCATCTGGGCAAAGGCAGGTACTGGAGCTAGGCCACACCACAAGAGAAAAACAACGTTCAAGGCAGGAGTTACAACAGCTCAGGTAGGTAGTTAATGGCATTAACAGTTACAGTATGATAAATGTTAAGTACAAGTCTACAATTCACACAAAACTAAATTTTATACAGGGAGCTTGTTAAATGTAAGACTTTATTTCACAATAGACAAATGTCTTATTCATACAAGTAAAAAAAAAACACTTACTAAAATTTTGTACAATTGATATGCTGACTATGAAGATACGAACGACACCAGAGAAAAAGAATAAGCTATGCCCTGTTACTATGAGCATGATCCATGCTAAATATCTGATGTGTGTGTGTGTGTGTGTGAGACAGTTCTCTGCAATGTCTGTTTCATGGGGCCCTTGCTAATCTCACATAGATGCTATTGACATGGTGAAGCAGGAAATGCTTTCTAAATTTTTCCTAGCTTCAATCAATCAAATGCATTTATACAGCACCGGTATCCATCAATAATATTCAAAGGCGCTCGACAAAGTTTCAGACTTTTTTTGAAAATGTTGACGCTTTTTGAAGTTTTAGTGTCTATTGTAAAGCATTCCATGAAGTAGGTGCAGCACAAGAAAATTCACGATGACCATGACTTGAGTTTCCATTTAGGTATATGAAGGAGGAATTTGTTAGGTGAACACAGTGTATTGGAGAAAGTGTGATGTGTAAGAAGATCGGCAATATACTGAGGTGCAAGTCCATTGGTGGCCTTGTAAGTTATGAGAAGCAATTTGAATTTTATGCAGGATTGAATAGGTAACCAGTGCAGACTTCGAAGTACTGGAGTGATGTGTTCATGTTTTTTAGTACGAGTGATGATTCTGGCCGCAGTGTTTGAGCACATTGAAGAGGAGCTAATCACGTGTAACAATTTGTTTTGGGCCAATAGGTATTAGTGTCATATTTTTCTACCAATGTAACATTTATAATCTGTTTGTTTTGTTTACTTCTCTAGGACAGAGATGGATCAATTGCAAGATTCTGTAAGCAAGTTGGAGAGTGGTAGTCTAAGTTTAAGAAGCAGTTTGAAAGATGTGCAAATGAGCAAGAAAAAACAAAAGAAAATGGACACATATGGTAAAGTATAATTTGGTTCATCATCATCATCATCATCATCATCATCGTCATCCTCATGCTCATTACCCACATCATCCTCATCACCATCATTATCATATGGGGTCATTATCACCATTTTGATTTTCATGATCAAGATTAAAAACATCATCATATGGTGGTGGTAATTTCAATATTATCAATATTAGCACATCATCACAATAACACTGTTTTACCATGCAAACTGAATGTACATTCCCATCCTAAAACTATCATTATTGCTGCAAAGCAGCCAATTCATATTCTTGACAGCAGTTTGACCCCTGAAAGGTCATTGTCGAAAAACAAGGACCTAAGACGACTGAAAAATGGAGTTTCCTTCTTTCGTTCTGCCGGGTAAAATCAATTACTTTAGGCGACGTTTGTAGACTAACCAACACGTACCAACGTCCGCATGTTGCGCTAGCCTTATCCTACTCTAGGCCTAGACTAGCTAGGATGGTATAGGCTTAGCCTTGAAGGAACGAAGGTACCAATGAAAAACAACATCACAATAATTCATTATTAGACCTATAGTTGTTTTTTTAAATAGTACTCCACAAATCTCAGCCGATACCTCGCACAACTCGAGTAACGTCTCGTGTCTATTGTTGTGACATCATGGCTCGCTGGCTCACACTTGCGATGTCTCGCACTTGTGATCAAATAACACGCTGGCTCGCACTTTGGCAACACTCTTTGGCAGTCAACTCGCCCCTAGAAAACCTGCCCTTGGAAAAAAAATGTACACTTCCTAGACCATGCAGTCTTCAAAATAGAAATTGTAACCTTTGGTAATCAACTACATTTTCCACATACATAGAAATTTTTGAAACTATATTTAAAAAAACCTAAACCGTAATTCACCACTATAGACACTTTTTGACAAAAATGAAAAATTACGACTTTGTTACCCAATGAGAAGTGTTCTAATATAGACAATGGGTCGTGTCTCATATTATTTGTTATATTTTTATTATTCATTATTTTCACTTGACTCGCATAAATAATTTTGTTCGAAGAACATTCATATGCAGTTGTACTTCGCAGCACTTCACTTGCAATTTGCAATTTCTAGTTAAATTTTATATTCTTGCAGCGAGTCTACCACTTGAGAAGAATTCAGAATTGTTAGGTTCAACAACCGAAGATAGTGACAGTGACACAAGTATTGATCTAGAAGAGAGTCCATCGTCCAAACCAATGTCCAACCCAACTACCAGTAGCAATCCTTCACATCAGAAAGCATCTAGAACAGGTCAGTTTTTTAAAACATCTCTGTCCCTGGTACTAAATTATCCAGAGATTTTTTTTGCCCGATAGAGTTATTTTAAATGTTGCTGTTATTGATTATTTTATGGTATTTTTATATTTGCATATTGCATTGTATATAATAATATTCATTTTGTTGGTGGAGGTTCGAGAGCTTCTAACTTTTTGCTTATGTTTTATTTACTTTTTATTTTAAATCAGTAAAAAATTTACAGAACAAATGAGATAAAATATGCAATATTAACAGAGCCTGAGGAGTAACTAAAAGTGAATCAATATTAAAATTATCCTTACCTAACATAAACAGACCATAAAAACAATCTGACAACAGCACTTGATATATTTCACCTTAAATATAACTGCAATATACAACCCTTCTTTCTGTGTTTGATTTGATTTCAACCAGCTTATTAGCAGTAATTCAATAGTGTGCCCTCTATAGTGTATAAATATGCTACATACAGAGAAACATGGATATTGGTGGCTGAATAATAAACTACAAGTGAATACATAGTTGAATTCTCTTGTTCATACTTTGGCTTCAGGTTTTATGTTTTTAGCTAATGTTAATACACTTTGCATTAATTATAATTTAAGCAGTTTATTTTTTTTTTGTATAATGTAATTTGAATCTATTATTATTATTATTTATTTTCTTTAAAGTTAATTTCCTATAAAACATAATATTTATTTGTTTATTATCATCATGGGAATCTATTTGGTATCTAACCAATGTTCTTCCACATCGCATAGTTGTGGTTTATAAAATATGTCTTGTATGGACTTATAGAGCTGTTCGACATTGTGAGAAAAAAATATTTTGATATAATATGAACTAGGGACCAGGGATTTAAATGCAAGATTCTGAACCAACAAGCAGTCTTAATCTTAATTAAAAGTACAAATATAAAATTGGTATGTTGATTTTATTAAAAAGAACATTTTTTTAAATAATATAATAGGTATTTTCTCATGGTTTTAAGGCCTGTTTACACTTCAACGATAAATTTAACGATAAATAAGCTAAAAAGCGATTGTTCATATAGAAAACAAAAGAAATAAGTTTTTACACTAGGACGATTCGATAATGATTTATCAGTATACGATAACAAAATATTTTAACAATTCAAATCAGATGACGTCATAATCATGGAAAAACGATAAAATCATTCCTACTACTACGATTTTAATGTTTTTCCATGATTATGACATCATCTGATTTGATTTGTCAAAATATGTTTTTATCGCATAACTGATCAATTGTTATCGAATCGTTCTAGTTTAAAAACTTCTCTTATTTCTTTTATTTTCTATATGAACAATTGCTTTTTAGCTTTTTTATCGTTATCGTTTAAGTATAAACAGGCCTTTAGCCTGTGGAATACTATCTGAAAACATTGTTCATTCAAACTTAACGAGCTTGTCTGTATCACAGATCTTCATAAATTGGATGATTCTTATACTTGTTTTCCAGTAAAAACACTTTTGGCTGGGAAGACTAAATTGACTTTCTACCTGGGACCCAAGATAACAAAAAAATTAGACTTGTGCTGCCCTGCGACAACGATATATTAAGGTCCAAAACCCGCTTTGGGTGGGCTGAGTCCACAATGTAAAGAATGCAGTATTAAAGGATACTAAACTCATCAAAACTTAATCTGAACATCCACAAACATCTATCAGTTCTAGGGTGAGGGCTCTAAGGTCAAATAAATTTCAGACATGTGTAAGCATTGCGATTATCTAGAACATGAATTCCTTATTGAAAGAGCTTAACAGACTTAACAGAGGTCAACCACTGCTAGACTGAGCTCGCTAGATGCTGCGAGCTGACTTTTGTGGTTGGCCCGTAAAGAATAAAATCTTAGTTCACAAAGTTTTTACTGAACAAAAAATAAGGGATTATGCTGCCAAAAAAAAATTTGCCAGATCACAATTGGATGTAATTTCATTTGGGGAATTGCATTATTCATATTTGCTTGTCATTGTCTTGTTGTATTAGATTTACACAAAAATAGATGCAAAATTAATTGCTAAATCTTAGATAAGACATGAGCCTATCAGTCAACTGTCACACAGTGTCAAAAAAGGAAGTGTTTTCACACATGGAGGCAAAATGCTTACTTTTATATGTTCCAGATATGAAGTTGCAAGTTGTAACAGCAGATATAAAGACATCTACGAATACTCACATGGACATTCAAATGCTCACAACCTGTCCTTACTTGTGAGCACCAATATTCCTTACCTCAAACAGACATACCGTTAGGAATAAAAAAATAAATTTACAAAAAGTATTGGATCATACCTACGCCCACATACTTCTGTCTAACACTCAACCATTTGTACATTCATGTAAGATAAAAGATTCAAGATAGCTTTTATTATCCTTTAAAAATAACAGAAATTCATTTGAAACCAAGCAGAAGTTTAAAGTGCGCACTCAACCCAATTTTCAAAATTGTCGAACATATATGTAAAAGCTCATAAATAGAATATTAAAAAAATATATATATATAAAACTGCATAATTAAGACAATTTAAAACACTAAAATATTCAAGAGAGTTTTAAGTTAAAACAATGTATCTGGGCTTTTAGCGCAAGATGCAGGTTGTAACAAACATTGAGCCAGTCATGAGTATACCCAGAATTCACACCTCCCTACACACCTACATACCTCTCCCTCCCCTCAAAAAATAACCTACCTAAACCTAATCCTGCGTAAACATTTGTTTTGGACCCATTGTTGTTGGTTTGTTGACTAAATGGATGAATGTACAAATGAATGAATGAAAGACTGAATGAATAAAAAAAAATGAGTGAAAGAATGATGTTCAATAACTCAAGCAAAACTAGAGTACTCATACCTAGAGTAGAGCTTTACATCCCCTCCCCCACATGCATACAATCTCTCACTTTGATTGCTCTATACCAATTTTCAATAACAAAAACCCCTTCATTCTTATGATTTCTGGATAAGTTTCTTTAAAATATTCTAAATTATTTTTCTTTAATTTTTTATTAACATGCTGGTGAAATATTACAACATATTTGATGGCATCCTCAAAGATTTAGTTGATCAGACCTAATAAAATCATGCACTTCGTGCTCTGTCATTGCTTGGAACTATTTTGGATAATGTTTGAAACATCCTGGCAATTAATTAGTGATGAACTTTGGATAATGGAGACCTGTCGGTACAACAAGAGGATGTGAATAAAATAATTTAAAATGAGAACAAGTGAATTTTAAAACACCATTGTTCAAAAAATGATGAGCAATCAGATTTTTGCTTTCAGTATCTGAGGTCGTGAACCCTTGTCAAGCAGATGTTATTGTTGAAATTACAAATGGAAAAAATTGAGAAGGAAATCAGGGACAAGATGATAGTGTCAAAAAATAATGAACATCAGATTTTATCTTCTGGCTGATAGAGTTTGGAAAGTCATCCTCGTCACATTAGGGACCTAAAAGATGGTTTTGGTTTGTCACCATTTTTGCATTTTTATTTAATGAGCTGAGCAGCATTTTTGATATACTGTACAACCAAAGCATTTGACTTCTTAATTATCATTAGCCTGTTGTTTTTAACTTGTGGTAGGTTTAGCCTAGAGATTTTTCTGGCACCAGTGGGACCAGACCACTGTTTGCCTGTTGGTGCTTGCCTCCTTCTTCAAGGTGCTTAGCTAAATTTTTGTCCAGGTGTGGAAATTGGTACCTTACGCAGTGGAATCTTACGATTACATTTCAAATGTTCTGGCCCTGATTGTAATATATAACTAGGTGTGCTCTCAGGGGAGGGCAGTGGTGACACAGTTGTTCTTGCGGATAAGAATATATGAATGGTACCTGGAGAAAAACTATTTTTTCCCTACCTTGCAATGATCAATTTTGAATTGGTGGCAAGCAAGACAAATCTGGCCTGTCATGAAATTTATACCAACCTGAGTAAATAATTTAATAACTTTCAATGAAAAAGAATCTGAATTTAATGATAATACAGTGATCTTACTATCAAAATCTTTAAAGTAATTATCAGTCAATTTAAAGGTCTATTAAAAAGAATACATAATGTATTTATATCTCCATTAATTTTCAAGACATTTTTTTTCTCATTGTAATTTTTTATTGTAAGCTAATAACTTACTTATACACACTAAGTATATGATTCTAACACTGAATTATTATCTTTAATGGGAATTAAGTACACCTAATACATGCAACAGGGTTGGATGAGAGAAGGAAGTGTAGCACATTAACCTAACATTAACCTACTTATTTCCAGTCTCATAATTACACCTTAAATGACTGTAGCATACACTGTCTGCTGAGAATCTATCTTAATGAGCTTACTAATGTTGAAAGCAGGTTTGCCTTGGTTTCATGACTTAGCCTCAGCAGTGCTAAGCTACCCTAGATGTTGTGATTTTGTTCTCAATTAAGCAACTTCCTTACTCTAGGGTGCGCCACGTATCACATTCTGTTCACCTCCGCTGATCCCAGGATGAGGATGCATTTCAGCGTTCCTGGTACCTGATATAAAAATTTGGTGTTAATTAGGATCGGGGTCGCCGAGGACATTATGTGGCACATTTTTCTCTGCTTGCTTCTCCCTCTAGGTAGCTGTGATCAGGAACTTATCGGGCTAGGGATTGACGATGAGTTAAATGACGTAACAAGATAAAGTTTCCGTATCTTCCTTTTCTTAAATTTTCATTCACTTTCCTTCTAGGATGTTTATTAATATCGCCATTTTAATATGTTTCATATTGATTTTTAATTTTCGTTCAGGTTTTAACGTAAGTTATGACAATTTAGATTTGCACTGTAATCTTCTTGATATTGATTACATCAGAATATAGAAGACAAAAAAGATCTGGAAGTCTCTTTTTGCACATCAAAAATCCCTCTGGATTAATTAACTGTTCTGTGATTATGATGTTTAGTTTCCTTTATAGCTACTTTCTGCAGTATCACCCATAGTGGCTGCATCTGATTTGTTATCATGTATCTTTATTATTTCATTAGGGAGATAATCACATGGAATATATTTGTTTACTGTACTCCTTGGGTATAGCCCGACCCTGGGTATATGCAAACCCTGTATTGTTTGTGTGTACACTAAATGCTCCACCCAAGCTTTAGCCACACACTATTGTAACTTCAGAGGTTTGGGACGAAAATATTACAATATGTGTGCCTTCGATAACAATTCCGAAAGTATGCACTACAGTATGTATGAAAAAAAACGTACATTGAAAGTTGGCGTCTAAACATTAGCTAGGCCTAGCCCTGTGCTATACCTATTATATAGTCTATTAGTCTATATATATATTTATTTATTTTATTTATGTCATTAAAATGCACAGAATTTCATGAAACACATAAAAACATAGGCAATGACATTTTTAAAATGCACAGTATCTTATGAAGTACATAAAAACATAGACAATGAAGACAGATTATTAGTAAAGTATACAAAATCAACCTAAAACATAACAATATAATGTGAGAAAATATATATCTTAAAAGTAAACAAAAAATATATCTTTAATATTAAATATAGATTATAAATTTTGTAGGTTTATTTTCAATTGAATTATTACTGCATGAACCATCATGAGCTATTATTTGCCAGAAAAAATATAGAATACGAAATATATGCCATGCTTAGCAAACTGTGCATCATGGGGTAGAGGCGTTACTCCACTAAGGTCCTATTGACCCGCATACCCCCCTTAAGTAATTGAACTCTGCATTTTGGGGTAGGAAGCTTACATTCACTGAAGCTTTGTTTCCATACAATCGCTATACGCTATCGCCGACAGCTTTCGGTGATGCTGATTGGTCGGTCAGGGACTTCTAAGCAGTACAAGGATAGCGCTGAAAACACTGTAGTCACAGTGTAGTGATTGTATGGAAACCAAGCCTTAGGTGCTAGTGACTGGCATACTCCTTTATCATTCTAATTCTATAGTTGAAATATGCATTTAATATAACAATCATTTTGAATTGCAACCTTTTTTCTTTCAGAAGATGACCTCTCTCTTAGCTACTTTTCAGATCTACCTGACGGTGTTGAGGACGATCTTCTCAGTTCCCCTTCACTCAATTCACTTGACATAGAAGACGACTTCCTCTGAGGGGAAGACGGAAATGTGGTTGATATTTGGGGAAGAGAAAAATGCCATGTATGTTTGTACCTCTTTGGTACCACCTCATAAATAGGACTGTGATAATGTAGCAAACTGAGATGTACTTATAAATTTTTAAAGTAATTAATAGCCTTCTATTGGAAATTAGAAATAGAATTTTCTTGCAAATTGGAAAAATGTATGAATAACCTCTATATCGTTTACATAAACATAAAATTTTTATGGCAATCAATTTTAAGATTTTAATAGTAAAAGTCTGCATATCAGCAAAAACTGATTTAAAAAAATCAATTTGTGTTTCATTTGATACTTTTAAAATAAAATTTTCATTGATTTAATTGTAATGTAATGTACTTAGGTTTAAATAGCACTTTACACCAGAATCTGTTAGCGCTCAAAATGTTGACTAGCTCGTACAGTGACTTTCTTCTTGCCTAAGGATCAATTTGTGTCTGGGCTACTTGGAAAACCGGTAGCGGTAAAAAAACTGTTCTCGTTAGTCCAAATGTATACCGTCTCTGTTGAATGAAATAATAGAGTAATAATAATAATAATATGTTAGAATTATATAGCACTTATACCAACAAGGCCTAACGCACTTTACAGCACACTATTATTCCCGGTCATTGGATCAAGCACATATGGAACACATAGCTCCCTGGTGATAATTCCATAATTTCGCAGCTATATTCGGCACATTTTGTGTTTACCTACCAGGTACCCACTTGTGGGTGGAGAGACACAAGTAAAATGCTTAGCAAGTAGGATATTTGTACTGCAATAGTACTACATTAATTAAAACTGCACCTGCTGCAGGTCCTTATGGCCTAGCTCTAAATTTTCTACAACCAGTTGGGTATTTTATTTTACATATGTACTTATTTATACTTCTCACATACACGGTTTTAAATACTGTATTTATGATATTTATATGCTAATATTTAAATGTTAGTTTCAAAACATTAATATTTTGTATAGTGTAAAAAATTACTGAATAATTTTAGTAGCTTGTTTAATACAATTTTAAGTTTTGTAATTGTTTTCTTCAAGCTTGGATTAAAACATAAAAACATAAAAATTGTCTGTTCATTTTTTAACATCGTTTTTTTAATATTATATGTTTGTCTTTACATTGAATACAATACATATTAAGCTTGGTCAACACTATCAATTTCTGTGAAAAAAAACAACTGCTGTATGCACATATATAGTCATGATGTGCCTATATATGGTCATGATGTGATGTCATCCTGACCATATTTAGGCATGTTGCATGTTTTTTTTTTCATGTCAAATGTGATAGTGTGGACAAGGCTTAAGCCTAGCTGTTCAACAATTGTAGAACGGTAAACAGTAATTTGGTATACTAACCTACCAGGCATACACTTGAGCCTGGCGTTCATAAAATCGCTGCACTGTCACCAGTGTTTTCACTGCAATCATACACCGCATAGAGTACCAGTCATGTCATCATGACACCAGGTAGCGCTCTCTGTTGTCAACAGACGTTGGATACCGTTCATTACGCCCGAATGACTTCGTAGGCTTTCTGGAATAGGCATTTTAAAATATTAATATTAATATTTAATATTTTACCAGCAAAATGTACTAAAAACACAAAAGCTCGCATTATATTAGTTGTTGAACACTCACTAAATCATCAATTAAAATTTAAAAAGAAAAAGTAAGATACATCTTAATAATTACGTTAGAAATTGGGATCAATGGTTTGTCAGTGGCGAAAATGGCGTCCGGTTGAATGTATTTTGGAATGATAGCAACGGAGTATCGTGACATAACACTAATACTATATAGCTGTCCCTTATACATTCAGAAAGCAACCGTAAGGTTAAGCCGACCAATCAGCACCGTCACCAATAGCTGTTGGTGATAGTGGGTAGTGATTTTTTCCTATGTGGACATACAACATATGGACATTAAATGCCTTGCCTGAAAGTTTCTCGGAAGATCAAAAATTTTCTCTGAAAGGGTGCAAGTGGTGACCAAGGACCTATGGTATGTAGATGCAGGATAGGAAGGTGCAAACCCTATAGTTTGAGGCGGGTTGGGGTGTTTCTGAGCCACCAGTGGGCAGTGTAAGGTGGGGAGGGGGGGCAAGACCCTGACCGAAGCTCTAATCAGTCTCTTCGCTTATACCACCTGTCCAAATTGTCAGAGAACCTGTCAGCCAAATTTCTGGAGCTGCTGTTGGGTCGAAAATAACCAGTGAAAATACACCGGTTATGGCGTTTCTCAGGTTTTAGATCTGGTTATCAATTCAGTATTTATGTACCTTTACTATTATTTTTATTTGAAAGATCTTTTCAAATAAAAAAAAAAGTAAAAAGTTACCTTGGTTAACACTTGCATGTGATTCAAAACTATAGGCTTATCAGGTTTATCAGGTTTTTCAAATTAAATAATCATGGTTTGTCACGGAACCGGACATCTCGCATACTTTCTATCATAGAGCAAAGAATTGGTACAACGCATTTGTTTATAGGTTCTTCATTTATACTGTGCAAAATGCGGGAGTCTCTAACCTGAACCCATTAAAAATATATAACATTCTAGCTTATTGGACCATCCTGGTTCTCCATTCACAACATCACAAACAAAAAGACTTCAAACACAAAACATTACAATCAATTCCTGGTCATTAAATTGCTTTTTTAATTCAAGTACCATCATTGGAATTATACAAAGATAACTTACATATGAATTTTTAAACATGGAAGAGCTGTATATGTTGAGCCTATCAAAACCCTTCTCAAGCTACAATATACATAATTTTACATTTTTGGATTATTTAACAACAATTAGATACAGTACACTTTCTGATCCACTTCATCAGATTATAATATACACCCAAGCATCACACCAATTTTTCTCTTACCAAAATTGGTTGGACTTTTAATCGTTCAATTATTAACATTACCACCTACTCCTCCTGCCGTTAATTCCTACAAATATCAAGGAATAGTTTACTCAAGCACCACATTCTCCTGCTCAAATATTTAAAGGCAGAACTTTTTAAATATTTTAAAACACCAAAACAAATTCATATTTGACAAACAGGTAAAATTTAGCCCTTGTCAATCTCATAATTTCCGTAGTTATCAACTTGCGATAATGTTATAAATAATGTACGTTCATACTTATACTGTACTCCAAAAGGAAAACTTTAAATACATTTTCATAATTGCAAGATAAATTTGAAAAATAACAACCTTTTAATTATTGCTTTTAATTTTTTCAGGAATTATACCTTCCACAATGTATAGGTGGTTTGAAATTATATAAAAACCACCGTACATAGTCTACACATGCTATAAGAATCAGTTTGTTTTAGTTCTAAGACAACAAGTAATCAGGCACTGTATGTTTAAGATTTGCGTTGGTGCACTAGCGAACCGAAATGCAAGAGCACATCGCAGTACAGCTAGCAGGCTGGCTAGCAGGCTGGCTAGATCAATTGAGTCCACTTTTTGATTGGTCATAAGACGTGTCTGCGACGATAGGTCCCAATTAGAATTTAAGTCACAGGCGAATGATCATGTTCGCTCATGCGTACATTGTGTCGACGAAAAGTTAAAAAATCCCAGATTACTTTTTATCTCTGAACGCAAACAAATACAATCAATGATTTTTTATTTCTTAACTTGATTGTCTTAAGTTTTTGTGAAAACAAAATAATAATATAAACTCATCTTTACATAGTAAAAATATAGTTTGTTACATAATATAAATTTAACAATATTGAATCACAATCTACATCGATCGATCCACACCTAGCCTGGCAAGTCCGGCATCACCAGTTTGTCATTAAAATTTACAGAAGAAAAAATAATAATTAACAGTTTACTTTATAAAAAATAAATATAAAACAAATATGAATATATTTAATATCTGCAGGAATCTGTTTGATTCTGAGTTTTTATAAATTGGATAATATATATTTTGCCAATACGTTGTGCGAAGTCATTTGTGGAATTTGAGAAAGTTGTTGTAATAGGAAGAATATAAGCCAGGCATTGATTAAGGTGCTACATCTAATAAAATTATCCAATTTTAAATTTGCTAGGAAAGTTTATAGGGACCTGATGACCTCCCTTCTAAATCCAGGTGAATAGGATCTTTCCTTTCTTATGCCTTGTCAGTAGTGATGTCAGCAAATTTATTGAGCTTATAAATACAGTTTTAAGCGCGACAATTAAAGTACAATTGACCTTCTTGGGAAACTAATCATAATGAACTCTGAGTGCTCTACGCAATATTTATCATAAAATATAAACACCAACAACAAGAAAACATCAGACAATTTTAGCAATATAGGTTGCATACTCTACATGAAAGTTGTCTAAGATGGTACTAGGTTGTGATGGTATACTAGAAGGCAAGGCTTACATACACAGCATTTTTAGGTTCAAAGAAACGGAACGATCAAAAAAATTTTTCTTCCATAAATGATATCAAAACTTAAGACCCAACTGAAAAACCCCTTCATAAATTTTACTAGATACTTCTTTAAGCTGAGGGCAACAGTTAACAAATTTAAAAAATCATTAGAATATAGTTTCTGCTTGGAAGAAAGATTCAAGGTATAGGGAATACTAAAACATTTCATTTACATTATTAAATATTGCATAATTTGGAAAATGTCACACTGGTCTGCTGAAATATTATGATACAGTATAATGTTAATATTAAGTTGAATATGTGAACTTTTCCATTTCTCTTTAAGGAAAATACAGCAACTGATAACTTGACAGATTATTAGTAAAAATCGCAACGATAATTTATATAATACTTCTCCAGAAAAAAAACCACTGCATGATCAAAAAAGATTTTATCAGTACCGGTCATTGTACAGTAAGTTGTTCAGGAGAAAACAAAATGAACCAATATTAGGTTCTCATAGAATGATGATAGCTGTGTGATAGTAACATTGCGATAGTAGTTACTATAACATGATAATTGTATAGTCAGTATGTAAAATTGGCTTCACATTCTTAAATTCTTGCAGCAACCACTCAGTTGTGACTAAAGTTCATGTTCATGGATTTGTAGTCACAGACAGTCCACCACGTCGGACTCCACATAATCCTGTCCTACAGGGCTCCATCCCGACCGCCACACCAGCACCGCTACGTCCCGATGTCATATTTGTAACAACAGTCCATTTACCTGTCTCTGGATCGTAGCACTCCACCGAGCATAAAAATTCATGACCATCATAACCACCTAAAAAAAATTTAAAAAAATATGTAAACATTGTTGGTTAAAAATGAAACTCAAGTATTAAAGTAATTAAAAATGATAACTTTAGAGAGCTATAATTAACAATTAAATTACAATAGTTTCTCTTTTCATTTCATCACATCCTGGTAGACAGTAAGATGAGTTTGCTTTATTAATTACTATATCTATTAACTATTAACAAAAAAAGTGTGTGTGTGTTTCTATATGTAATATGTCATTTTACGAGTATCCACTTTTCGTTCAAATTTTGTAATTTGTGGGCTGCCCGCTAAAATATATTGTGGCCTGATTGTTGTATTTTTTATGTTGGCAAGTAAGCATTTCTCAAAAATAGGTTGGAGTATATATCTAGTCCCAAGGATTCATTTTCAATTTCCATTTCCCATAAATTAAATTGATATAACCTATTATATGGTATGGAGAAAGTAATTACCTAAAGCATATAGCTTTCCACCAACAACATCAACACTGAGGGCGCTTCGCCTTGAATTCATTGGTGCGATGAATTCCCATGTGTCTGTCTCTACATCGTATCGCTCAACACTATTTAACTGATTTGTGCCGTCATATCCACCAACAGCATATATGTGATCTCCTAAACTTGTAACACCTAATAAAGAGAAAAGAAAAGAACATTAAATACATGAAGATGAAATTAAATTAATCAAAATAAGTACTTGAATTGCTCATAACAAAAGATCAAATAATTTATTGAATTTCAGCAAGTCACATATTCAGATCTTCTACTATGAATATCCCTTACTTAGGAATATTAATTAATTTATGCATATAATATTACTTGGCAAGGAGTTTATTATATTTTATAATGAAAGCAAATTCTTTGGTAGACAATTTTTAATTTTACTGTAAAAGTTGATTAGCTAACACAGAGTTTTTGACCAAGAACAATAAATAAATAATACTTTTATTAATTTGTTAAGTCAAAACTTCCTCTTTTGAAGCTTAATCATCATGCATCCTGTTTCAGATGCATTGTCATTTATCTTGTTTCTTTAATTTCTTCAACTTAATGTACCACCGAGCAGAATAAATCACTACCCAAGCCTGTACTTTCCCCAGTTATGTGACTGTAGCTATAATCATCCTACAATGTCCAGAAAGTTAGTAGTAAAGTTCACAACAGCGACATGAGGACAGGCCTCAGACAAATAATACAGTTACAATACTCTATATTAATAACATGCGTCCAATCACCGAATCTAGGCAGGCTCTTAAGGAGAGGAAATCATCAGAAATTCAATCAGTTTGCGAGCTCCCGTGTGATTGCGAGTTAGCCTAGCAGCGCGTCATTCATTCAACACTGCGCAAAAAACCTCAAGCAGTTTCAAGGGAGATCTGTCCCATAATGATAAGTTAGGCAACAGGTGACCACATTAATATTCTCACAATATTATATAATTGTGTTTAATTTGTTTTTCTTTTCTCTCTAGATTTTATACGGTACTATATTAAATGTGTTCGAAAGTGACTAATCAGTAAATTAATGATACCCAAAAAACTATAATAGTATATAAAAGTAGTTTTACAACAAATTATTAAAATCACCAAAATTTTGTGAATAGACTACGCAAAATTGATTATAACATATAGTGGAGGGGTCAACACAGGGCATACCGTATGTGGGCTGGGATATCACATGTCTGAAATGCCTCAACATTACTTGAACAAAAGATGTATCAATGTTTTTTATTGCGTTCTAAGACTATTATCTAACCAAAATCTCTAATTTCCGGTGCTTAGATACGTCAGGAACAATTTCTGCAGAATCATGCCATTTGATTAGGACAGGCCAGCTTGTAGTTACAACACTATTTACAAATCGGTGTAATGAATAAGTATTAGAGCGATTACATGAAAAGGGCTTAGATTTGCTTGTAAAATGTGAAATGGCAGATTTGTAATACACGTCATTAATAATAAATAAAAAATCATAATACATTTTGTCCTGTCAGAAACTGAATCATGTATAAATTTGAACTTTGGAACATAAATTTTTAAACAAGATAGTAAATCAGGATTTCTTTTACAGCAATGTCTATTAAAATTTTATGAACTGGGTCAAATTAAAAGTTATTTCTGGCAACAGCTGCTTAATAATGAATTGTGGAGGAAAATTATACAGACATGATATTTTTCACAAATATGAATATTTTCAAATAAAAAGTGATTTCCTATTACAAAAAAAAAATTAACTGTGTGTACTTATTTATTAACTTCAAATCAAAATTTTCAGTAAAATATTAACGATTTGTTATTATTAAAAATTAAGCAGTTTCAATTCTAAGTTGGTATTGACACTTCATTAGTTTATTAGAGCGAGTCAAGCTGAGGATACTATGTGTCAGCAGTTTTACCAGAAAGTTGACAGTAAGCCAGGGATAATCTCCTCCAAGAAACAGACATAATTAAGTAATTCCGTTTCAGAAAGGGGAAAAAAAACTTCGGTCATAGTGATCTTCCCCTTGTAATATCCCTTTTATTCATCATGGCCAAAGAATTTCTAAAGTTTGAACATTTTTACTAAAACAGTACAGTTTAAAAGAACTATTTTTTAAAATAAATATTTTCTTTTATCAACTGAATTAAAACTTTTATATTTATGTGCATCCTGTTCCAAAATATAACTTTTAATCATTTAATATCAACAAGGATTTGCATAATTTCATTCAGACAAGTACTTAAAAACTAAGTAAATGTTAACAGAAACCCTAATATTTGTACATGTTAGGCATCTGGTTTCCTTTGGGTAAAAATTTAATTTTCCTATCATTACTATTTAGAAAATCATCCCTTATTGATCATTCAATCTTACAATAATTCTCGTTATTGAAATCAAGACCATCCATTTTAATTTCCTAAATACCAAATCATATGTTATCTATTAGTAGGAAAAGGTGTTCTATCCTGAATATTCAATCAATTATAATCCGATAATAAAACATGAAAAATTTGCTTGGCGTTCGGTCAGTAGCTGTTAACATCCACACATACAAATGTTACGACTAATTTACTCAAATGCAAGAGATCATGAAAGAAAGCTTTATACGCCCACATTTCACAATTATTTTGTCATTTAATTTCCCCCTCCTCACTTCCCATAAATTCATTTTAGCTACTGTCAAATAAAAAGTGTCACCATTAATCTGTTCTGTTTACATTCGGAAAATTCACATATTTAAAATATTTTCATTTTCGTTACGAAGCAAAAAATAAAAAAAATTGACCTACCAGCACCACTTCTCTTCGTATTCATTGGTGAAACGCTAATCCACTCATCATTTTCTGGATGGTAACACTCGACGCTAGAAAGACGGTATTGGCCGTCGTATCCTCCTACAGCGTATAACAGACGATTTACAATAGCACAGACAACACCAAGTCGACGCGTCTTCATTGACGCTATTGATTCCCATCTGTCTTTATCAGGATCATACCTAACAAAAAGATACACATCATAAATTTTAAAAAAAAATGTTGTGTACTGAACAAAAAATTAATTAGTTATCAAATAGTTTTTCATTTTATTAAATATTAAATCATTTATCATGTAAATATTTAAAATTATATATAAAAATTAAAGTTGTCCTAGATATTATTTTTATTATATTTTTACCTTTCAACTGAGCTGTGTTGATGGCATCCTTGAGAGCCTCCAACTGCATATAACTGACCGTCAAGAACTGCTACACCGACACGATTCCTAGGCACTGACATTGGCGCTCTACTATGCCACTGGTTTGTTAACGGATTATAAACATCTAAACGATTTGAGTCTGTATTTGCTTCTGAAGTATTGTTCCGACCACCGACTGCATAGAAAAATCCATGAATTGTGGCAGCGCTTAAGCCGCTGCGTGGTTCTGGAAGATATGCTAATCGGTACCAACGATCGTCCTCGGGACAATAGCACTCCATGTTCGTTAAAGACTGACGCAAGTATCCGCCAGCAGTGTATATAACACATGCTGCGATAGGATTTCTCTTCGGTCTTGGCGGTGGCTTATGTAAAGTTAATTCTTTAAAGTATTTTGACAGAATGTCTTTGCATTTTGGATCTGATTTCAGAATGTCACATTTTTCCAATTGTTTTCTTAGGAAGTCTGGGGTGAGATGCTCACAGCGGATTCCACCGCCTAACAGTTTGTCAAAACAGGCTTTGCGTTTCTCCTCGTCGTGCCTCACCCATCTGATGCATGCGTTATATACTTCTGATTCACACCAGACATTCAGTTTGTCGTGTTTGATTAACGTTACAATCTCTCTTAGGTTTAGATTAAGGAATTCATCATTCTCGCTGACTTTGTTAAAATTCCTGCACACAAAGTCCCGAGCCTTCTGTTGCAAGTCCATAAGACCATGCTGCTCAGCATAGAGTGAAATACCAATTGCATTACTTGGATCTAGTTCTTGTTCTAAAAACATGCTACATGCATCTATAACGTCCTTTAGATGAAACATAATAGCCTTTGGAAGCAGCTCCAATACGTTGCATTCTGTTATCGTTATTTCAGATGTGTACATAAAGTCAATTATCTGCGAGAAACAACATGGGTGGATATCTTTGAGCTCAATGTTCCTTTTCTCGCATTCATCAAATCCACCGGTAAACATTGCTTTGAAGTACAGACTTGACGCCGCTAGAACACATTTATGAGCATGGAATTTGACAGTCTCGACTACTAGCGTTACATCACATAATGTCTTTGACTGCCGGAGCTCATTCAACTGTTTAAATGCACTATGCGGATGCCTGTTGCTCTTAAATATTACAGAGCCATTGCAAGCCTTGCGAAATGTGATATCTTCGGATATTGAATGCTCCTCTTGTTCCCCAGTTTGGTTACAATTTAGGGGATCCTTTTTGGATCGTGTCGGGGTTGAGTTAGCCATCTTGTCTGGGCTACACTGGCAGGCTTCTGCAGCATCACAAAGCGACGAGTTTCCAACGAAACAGTGGCACACAGTTGCTGGCATTAAAATGGCTTTTTGGATCCACAACCGAGGGACTTTTGACAAATGCTGGCTAATTTACGGGATAATGCTGCCTGTAGAGAGATAAGATAAAAACAATGAAATTAAATCATCTAAAATGCTTGCACATTCGAAAGAAGACAAGAAATAAATGTAGACATTGTATTATCATACCCACATGTGAACATTCTGACGAATAGCATCATACAATGTCAAATGTCCAGTAGTTTCAGTCTTATATTCAAACCATGTGATACATTTATTAAATTTATGCTATGTGATAGAAACTACTTCGTTCTAGGAAGTTGGATACACACTGTTGATTGTCGATTCTAAGTTGTGTTTTTTTCCCACAAATTAAGTAGAGCAGAGTAGCCGATGCGATACTGCTGAGTAATAGGCTTGGTCTGTTGCAGAAATACAAATATCAACCGCATGCTTATCAGCCGCTTGCATGGGAATATATTAGTTACTATGATATTGCAACTTCTTGAATAGGAATCCATCATAGTCAATATAAAAAGCTATAATAAAACCATTTTCTTTTTAATTTGTAGCTGCACAAATGCTATTACAAAACACACATTGAGTAATATGTGAAAATTAAAAAGAAAAGTTTTAATAATTATCAAATTGAACACAAAACATTAGTCATTAATAAATGATTATAATAGAATTAATGCTAAAAATAAAAGAAGATGGAAGAAAATTAAAAAGAAAACATCAAACTATATTCACAGCATTTTAATTATCGCAATATAAATATCGCAACATAACTAACATAATAACCAATCTAAAAATTCAATAACAAAGCAAGTTAAAAAAAAGAAAACATAATAAAATTACAAAAATACTATGATTAATTGACTTAAATTCAATGTAGAAATAAAAAAAAAAAAAAATTTACCACAAATATTCCTGAATGAGTGCACCTACCACACTATTGACGATGCTGACCAATAAAGTATGTTAACATCCTATGACAAAAAAATGTTTATGCTTCTACGATCTGATCTGTATGCTGACAGAGACAACAATGAACGGTACAGCAAAAACACGTTATAATTCAAGCATTTGCCATTAGGAGACAATTAGCGAAAACTGACAATTCCTGACCTGTAATCCAATCCGCCCATTTTCCTCCTTGACCCCTCCGGTTGAACGACCCTCAATATACAGGCACATTGTGCGAGCTACCCTGCCTGGGCCAATCTATGCTATACACTATACGGTGTCTACAATGCCAAATCATCATAGACTCACCGTCCTAAAAATAGCACATAGCAGCAATACAAGCTTAGTCAAATGACTGGCACTATTTTGTTTGCACCTTGGCTAGGCGCGTATAGCTCTGATTGGATATCGCCGAGGAGCTCTCTGCCGCGTCATCGCCGGGCTGATCAACAGTCCGCTGCAGTCACAAAGTGACGGTGCAGACTACGAAAGTCAGAGGGAAAAGGAAGATCTTAATGATTAGAACGTTTGTACGAGGAAATTCATCATTAAGGTCCACAATCTCATTCAGCAGTATGCGTAGTACAGAACTCTGAATTGAGTTTAGCTGATGTGTGCAATACTTTGATAAATGACTGACCGGAGCTAGTATTTAAATATCGGACTTAGATATTTGCACAATTATTTAATTTCTGAGTGATTTGTGTGTGTATACAGAATTTATTATTTATTTCTTTCTTATTTACATTAGGGTACCTTTTATGCACTTGCCACTTTCTCCAAGATGACCAAGTTATGCATTAAAGGTGGCTAACATTTCGTACGAGGCCAGCTCAGTTATTGGTCTCCACACAATCTTTTGATTTTGTATTATTTACCTTTATTCTTGGTGAAATATAGACTGAATGAGAATGTATGAATGGGGAAAAAAACTATACCTCATATTCAGTGTGGCTAAAAAAAGTGAATTTTTTACATTACAATATAAAATCACCAAATACAGTCATATTTTACAGTCCTCATTTGGAAAATATGTAGACTTATGAATATCTTATGTCGTAACAAAATAAATCAAAATCTAATGACATTCCAAAATAGTTTTTCTATCTATCATCAGAGAAAAAAAGCAGAAAAAAAGAGACAAAATTTTATCCAAATACATAATAAAAAAATTACTATTATTATTACTGGTATTAGTTACCAGCGGTCTATCCTTAAATTGGATTACAATTATTCATAAATATGGGGATCAGAAACAAATATGTAAATTAAAATGGCTAACCTTATGTTTTTATCCCAAATTAAACTCTCTTTGGAAATAGGAATATTTATACTTTGGAAAAACTTGATCACATACAATGTTAAAAAATAAAAAAAATTACTATTATTATTACTGGTATTTAATTACCAGCTGTCTATCCTTAAATTGGATTCCAATTATTCATAGATATGGGGATCAGAAACAAATATGTAAATTAAAATGGCTAACTGTATGTTTTTATCCCAAATTAAACTTTCTTTGTAAATAGGAATATTTATACTTTGGAAAAACTTGATCACATACAGTGTTAAAAAAAAATATTAACATAAAAAAAATCAATATATGTCATACGTTTACTAAGAAAATATGACAAAATAAAAAATATTAATTTTGTACCGTATGTCAGTATTTCTGATGAGGCTTCTGCACTAACCATGACATATTGTGTCAAAGATAACTTGCTGAAGTTCCGCAACTAGAGACATCCTAACCCCTTGAGATATTCATATACATTGTCTAGACAATATCTTCTTGCACAGTACTTAGAGCAAGGACTGCAAAATTGGGCCAACTGTTCACGCATACTTGCTTTGTCTCACCCACATAATCTAGCAAAAGTGAGGAATTCCTGGCAACTTATCATATGATATCTGAAGCCTTGTTCACACTCAGCAAACTTTATTTGACAAAAACATGTGACATGCCTAAATATGGTCATGATGACATTATATCATGACCATATATAGGCACATCATGATTATACATGAGCATACATTTGATAGTGTAGGCTGAGCTTTATAGTTGGCAACAATTAGTTCATTCATACCTCCATGGTTCATCTATGAATATCCTAAGGTTTGGGATACCAATGTATAACGGTTATAGCTTTTATAGATTTTATAGCTTCATTCACTTTTTTAAATGAATATTCTTTCTTTTTCTAGTCAGTATTCTTATTACAAAACTGTGTTAATAAAATCTGATTGGTTGTTTTGTTTTCTCCTAACACCAGGCCAAGATACCTTAGATGATTCTGAGTCTGAGATGTGGGGTACAATATGAAAAAATAAAACAAAATCATAGAAAAAAGGGAAAAATGCAAAACAAAGTTATTCCCTTTTTTCTATAATTTTGTTTTCTTTCTTCTCATTGTACCCCATATCTCAGGCTGGGGCAAATGCAGGGGGGGGGGGGTTCAGAGGCCCTACATTCTATTAAGAAAAATAATTGTTATATTATATTGTTGATATGAATTATTGGTAAGATTTTTAAGGTATGAGAATGCAATTCCTGGCACTCAGAATCATCAAAGGCATCTTGGAAATGGTGTTAGGAGATCTATTTTAAAACAAAATATTTATATTTGTTACCAACCAATCACATTTTATTAATACAGTTTTGTGATAAGAATACTGACTAGAAAAAAAAATATTCATTAAAAAAAAGAAGCGAATGGAGCTATAAACTTTATAATACAGGTCATAACAAGGCCAAGTGAAGGAAACCCTTTGATATGCTACATGCTATAAAGAAAAAAAAAATCAATGAAATCATCATAATTATTTCATCGTAATTTTTTTTCTCTACTGTCACAGAAAATAACATTCAAATTGAGTATTTTGGCAGGATTGCCCATAGTAAAACTAAACTTTCACTTTCAAAGGGGCTCTTCTCATAAATGTTGACCAACAATTACACCACAAAGGTGTACAAGCATGGAAGGAAGCATGAATTCGCTTAAAGAAAACGTCATTATGTCAATGATAGAATGACAAATTGATTGACTTTTTATTGTCAACAAGGGACATCAACAAATTGCTGGGTTTTAAACATACTGAACTATGTCTGGTGAAATATGGAAAATACAAAATTCAATTAAGAAATATCATATCACTCATTTAAAAGAATCAAATAGATTATATTAGGGAACAGTTAAACTATGTACAGTACTGCAATTTCAATGTTCCCTGGTTATATGAATATATTATATCATAAAGGTTTTGGTAAAATTTGTGTGGTGCCAACTTGAAAAAAACAAAAAGATGATGAATACTCAAAAAATTGTCCTTGGCATAATTATGATACATTATACATTATGTACTTCCTTCCATTGTCCACAATGACAATTTTAGGCCAAATAAAATTAATTGTTAGTTTCACAGTCTGAGATTCGAAATTTTTTTTTTTGTAAGAATATTTTTGCTAATTACTATCCAATACTACACTAGTAGTACACAGGTTGATAAAAAATAACAAATGTTTTTTTGTTTTTTGTTTTTTATTTTTTTTATACAAAAAAAGTAAAATGAATCTTAGTGATGTACTCTGCTATTGATTTTCCACCTCTTCTTAGGCTTTTTTATTTTTCATGGTAAAATCAACTTTGGGTAGGTCATAGTTTGGATATGTCATAGTTTGAAGTTTAGTTTTCAATGATTTTAACAAATTTTAGTCCAAAAACCCTAATGATATACCTACTATTAAGACTTATTAATAGGTGCATGCTTCAAATTACTGTTAGAAATTTAAGGGTATTATTTAAAAGTAGGTTAACTGCCGATGATCTTAAAGTTTTCAGTTGAAAAAAATAATACCTTATTGAAATGTACTAATTAAGCATTTCTTGATTTTATATTATAAAGTAAATATTTATATTACTATTAGGTAGCCAGCAGTACTATGTATGTATAATGCTTCAAAATTATATTATTTCATCAAAAGCATGAGTTACTGCAGTATAGTATTCAATATATGTACATAATAATTTTACATAATTACACCTTTTTAAATTGTATTACTCAATATAGTTTTATAAAGTAAATACTATACAAATCAAATCAAAGTAATTGAAACAGAAGA